AAACGTTTACAGAGTAATGCTAAGGCACAGTATCATTGGGAGATCTGCTGAACTAGAGATTTCTGTGCTTCAAAGTCACCAGATGAAACGTTTGCTTTCCAATTTTAAATAAATGCCGGCTTCACATTTTACATTTAGCAAATAGTTTAAATAACATCATAGTATTGAATAGTTTATAAATGTTTATTAAATGTCAGTAATCTTTACAAAGCAAATATTAAAAGCAAGAGGCAAAAATTCTGCAAAATATGTACAAAAGTAAAAAGCCTTAATAACTAGCAACTCATTTTATAAAATCCAACTGTTCTTGCCACTTTCAGACCTCCTTTAGAAATAATTTATTGCCAATCCTGAACTAAAGCACTGACAGAAAATAATTTACAGTATCAGATAATGTGCTTAGTTCCTGGAAAGTTATAAAAAGATATATATATATAAAAAATCCTAAGCCACAAATACTTTTATACAGAGCTAATACAAAGCATGTTTGGTTAGGTACAGTATTATGAGGTTGTTACAAAATATACTTTTCGATAAGGCTTTTTGTGGTAAATGAGCTCTACCCCGGTATAGTAGTACTGTACAGAAAAGCCAGTGAAAACGTTTTCTACTTCTGCTTTAAGAGGTAAAACAAAAACCGGGGAATGTTAGTTTGTTGCATTTTACATATACTTTCCATGAATTAACATCCCTCCCACCCCACTGCCACCGTACCATCAAATAGGCGTGACTGAGGACAAATGCATCACTTACTATGGCAAGAAACATATAAGCTTTTAAAATACAAACCCAAGGAAAGTAGCCTATTTCTATCATGATATTCACTGATTGAAAATTTATGCATAGTGATCAGCATACATTGACCCATCTGGAAATGATCATTATCAACAGATTTGAATATGTCTCAAAACCTCTTATCAACTCGGAAAACAATGCCCTATCATTAATGCTTTTTTGGTCAATATAAGCTCTGGCATTTGAAATCAGATGGTTAGACCTGGATGAAATAAGAATGAACATATTTCAATGCTAACTATACATTCAAGTACAGACATAAGAATGCTAGCGGTACAAACACTGTACTCCATATGATGTTAAGAATCACTTGCCACCTAAGGCTAATATCAACATGGTGGTACTTGAAAAAGCCATGAAAGAGCCATGAAAGCCAACTTGTTTAAAATGTTCAGGTTTAGTCTTATACTTCAATTTCTAGCATAAACTCATTAAGCCCTAGCCTCGTACCATAAAATAATGGGTATGTATTATTTGGGACATGGAGACACATACACACCCACTCTCATACAATCCCTCCCTTCCTCACGTTTACTGGACAAAATCCAATCTGTATCCTATCATTTAAAAAATAAACCCCACAATAAATCAGTTCTGTTAGTAAAGCAGCACATGACCAGATTGTCGTGACTAATGGAACTTAACCTGTTGATATGACAGGAGATAAAGTGGCTCAGCACTAAGTAGATCTCCAAATGACATGTGCAAAATTTCTGTTCTGATTCCTCAAATAAAACTAGAAGAAATGAAAAGGTAGCAGAGTAACTTTCTCTAGATTTATTAGGGAGTTGGTTACAAATAGTGAACTGAACTTTACAGGTATGATTCCATGAATTCAAACAAGAGTTAACACTGATAATTTAGCCTTCTCATTACATATACAGAAATAACATTGCTACAAATTGCAATGAAGAGAATCTTGTTGCAAATGGCTTGGTTTGGGGTTTTGTCTAAATGTATCATTATATAATGAAAGCACCAATTTGAGGGCTTCTCAAACAGTGATTTGAGTTTCAGAACATTAACTTGGTAACTTTATTCTTCATCTAAATAAGGCATAACTGGATAAGTGTATTAATGCTGAAAATACATTTCATCAAAAGCATAAATACAAGTATTTGGGTATACATTGGAAGTTAAGATTTATTTATTCCTTCTTACAAAAAATTATAGGACACATGATTTCTGTCAAATCTAAATTAATATTTCTAGTCATTTCTGGTACTAAGGCCATCTTAATTCCTTCTACTGTAAGCCAGCCACTGCCACCAACTGAACGAGGATTTCCCTAAACAACCTCACTAGAGCAATTCACCAGAGGTTCCTTACTTCATAAAATACATGCCAATGAATCGTCAAAGAAAACAAAGCAAAACGAATGACCCTTTTTCACTCACGTTGCCTTCTCGGATTGCGGCTGCGCTCCAGCCATCCAGTGCCTTTTCCAGACAAGATTGAAAATAAGATTTAAACTTAACACAGTATTTGGCAGAAAGCAATGATTCAGGTTATTAACAATAATACTTAAGCAGCAGAGGCACGCCTTGGATTATTTGGATCTTCAGAAAACATTTGACAAAACCCTTTTCCTATATGAAAATCAAGGCCCAAATTTGCATTGTACTTTGACTTATAATATAAGGCAACTCTGTATACTATAAAGTTATGCAAGGTCAACGAGGATATTTTGTAGCATTTCTTAAAATTAAACGAGAAGACATCCAGATTTAAGAACAGAATGTAAGAAAATTAGGCACATCTTATTCCAAATAATCATGAAGTCTAAGAAAATCTAACACATGAAAGAACTTGAAGTCACTTTTTTAGAGATTAGGGGTAAATTGGCATAACTATGAGCACCCTTTTAATTCTGTTCAGTAAATGTCACCTCCATCGTTACATAGTGGAATTTCAAAAGGATTTGGTTTGCATGATATAGGTATAACGACTCCTTCATCCAGTTTAAAAATACAGTATATAAAAAGAGTGGACTAAAGCATTCAGATTGAACTTCATAGTTCTACTGAATGTCTAAACAAACCTGCCATTAAATATAAGTAATTTACTGCCTCAAAGTATATTCTAGATTTTACCATAAAAGTCGGTTGACTGAGACATCACACACATCAGGAAAGAAAGTCACAATTGCCCAAAATAATACCGTATCTGTTTTGTGTTTCAACATTTCTTGGTAGTAGCCAATATAGGGAAACTGGTGATTTCTGTTTTGTCAGGCAATACTTATGGTTCATGTCACAAATCTTAAATATAAAATAAACAGACCACGTGTCTTCTTCACATAGGGAATTCACTTTAGCCCCTCGCTGGAATGGTTTGGCCATTCCATATTAGCTGAATCTACACATAAGACTCTCCACCACCTAGTCCAGTCTAACTATGACTTTAAACAAAGTATTCTTTTTGGCAAGAAGCACTAGGTGTTTAAACATGCATGGAGACTTGCATTATCATGTGAGCGACAGGTTTGGAGGTCATTTATCACCAAGACATGAAAATACTGGAAGTGACTATAGATCGAACTGCAAATGCAAGAAAAGCCAGGTATGCAAGAACAATCCCTGGTTAGCTCAGAGAAAAGCCCTTGTCTCATATTAGACAGCAAGACAGACCAAGAGCCATTGCCTTAATGGTGGGTGACTCATACTGTTCACCCATCTTTCAAGAAAATACCTGAGAACCCAGTCAGCTTTACAGTAAAGTGACGGATATCACATCTTAATCACAGTTTTCAGGAAAAGGAGAAAAGCTGCCACTTCCAAGCTATCCCCAGCCTTGTCCATCTTTTCTCTAATCTAATTCCAACACTGCACTTACCCTGCAGGCCAGGATTTTCAGTACTGCAAGCCAGCCATTCTGAAGAGTCTGCCGTGAGTGTATCTGGAACCAAAAAGCTACTGCGTGGGTACATATGTTTTCATTTGGTGAGAAATGGGGGGAGGTCAAATGCAATTAGATTTTGGTGTGAACTAAAATAACTATCTCTTGTTCTCAGGAATATCCTTAAAACATTCCAAATGCACTTCAATAAAGCTGGAATTTCATAAACAAACATGCACATACTGTGCTTTTTTTAGTGACATACCAAGAATGAGCAGGAATTTGAAATAATACCTTCTTGAATAGTTTGATACAAAAATTCTGCAAGCTCCAAATGAACAACTATAACAACAACAAAATCCCCAAAATGCCCCTCTCTGAGTTGATGGGAACAGACAGGAGAGCAAAAGAAAGATGTTTGTGATGGTACAAAACGGTTTCCTACAGTAAGGCCCCAAATCATGTGAAACAGGATTTAAAATTTGAGAGTAAAACACATAACATCTGGAAAGGTTATGTTTATTTATAAAGTTCTGTTATCAAGTTGCTTGCAATTTTTAGTTACTGCCATGGCCAGAATGTTTCACATCCGGCACTTTTATTACATGATATTTAAATATGAAAAGGGTAAATTGTATTTCACTCATAACTTTGACCAAAACATTACATATGGCACTTGATGCCTTTTGCTCTCCCGTACCATTTGTGAACTTTCATTAGCATCAAACCAGAAATCCTTATGTAAACTTTAAAACACTAAAAACATTACCTTTAGGAACCACAGAAATTTTAAAACAAAACAACTGTCGTGCATATAAGTAATGGAAAATACATGAAGGCTAAATCTGGTGAGTCTATAGAATGCCATTCCTAAGATCAAAATTTTTTCCAACAGCCATTTCAAAATAGGTCATCATAAAGCTAGGCACGAGTGTTGAGTTATGTGTCAGGCAGACAAAAGGTATCTTATTTGTTTTAGAATTGAATACTCTTAACCTCATACTACAAATACTCAAGGACACCTGCTATACTTGGCACTACAGGAGAATTCAGTTTGAAAAGTGGAAGGAGTTAAAGCCTGAACTATAACCTCGACTGAGGTTTGGCAGGAAATTACAACTCCACTCTAATGGAAGCCATAGCAAAACCGACCAACGCCTAAACTTCAGCAGATATTGGCAATGTGTTGTTATTCAGCAGCTTTCAGCCACAAACCAGAGTCCACAGAAGAAGGACTAAGATTTCCAAGAACTTCAACACAGCATCAAGATTTTTCTAATTCCTGTTGTAAACTATTTTAAAAAACAAAACAAACAGAAAACAATAAAAAAGACAAAAAGGTATTAAAACAGCAAGTCTTTTGTACATCACTGGAGCATAAGCTGCTTGAGGTTGTCATGAAGAATAGTATCCTTCACGTCACGGAACACCAGGCGGATGTTCTCCGTGTTGATAGCAGTGGTGAAGTGGTGGTACAGGGGCTTCTGCTGCTGGTCCCGGCGTTTGTTTCGGAAACACTCCACCAGGAATTTTTGGACGTCTCTTAAGCAGTGGGGATCCCCTTCAAATTCTAAGAAATAGTCTTTGATGCTCACAATTTGCACTTTCTCCTCAAGCAAATCTGTCTTGTTTAAGAAGAGAATTATGGAGACATTGCTGAAAACCCGGTTGTTGACGATTGTTTCAAAAATGTTCAGAGATTCTGTAAGGCGATTGGTCAGTCGGTCTTCCATAAGCACCTGGTCAAATTCACTTGAGGAAACAAGGAAAAGTATTGATGTCACACTGTCGAAGCATTCAAACCAACGTTTTCTTTCTGATCTTTGACCACCTACATCAACCATTTTAAAAGGAACATTTTTAATTTCAAAGTCGTACTCATGAATGCCTTTGGTGGGCCTTCTGGCAAGAAGAATATCTTGTTGTGATGGAACATAATCCTGGAAAAAAAAAAAAAAAAAAGCTTTTATACTCAGGAATCCAGAATTAGAATTTTTAATGTTCTACTAAGAGTCTAGTGAATGGATATACAAACAAAATTATATTTTTAACATGTCAACACCTCTTAATAACACTAAAGCATCCATACTATTATTATTATTCCAATTATATAATGCCAAATATATTAAAATGTTAGTGTACCATGACTGGTTCAAAATTCATTACAAATGGACAGCACCTATTTGATTTCATTCCTGCTCAAATTTGAGTAAGGTCTTTCCTACCAACTGCTGTGTATTTGCCTTCAGTATAACTCCCCACCATAACCCATTCGTAGTTTCAGCCAAGGTGACCTCACTGCTCATACACACACCTGCTCCTAAAGTCTGAATTTCAATTCAGGAGGGTTACTTCTAGGCTCTGCCTCTCTCTAATCCACACTAAACATTCCTTTACCGCCTCAACGACTAAGACACTCTAGGCTGTCACTTCATGTTATCATCGCTGCTATACTACTGACACAGAAATCACTTCCTCTACTGTAACTAGTTAGCAGACTTTACTTGGCCACTTTCTGGGTCTGTTTCCAGGGTATGGTGTAGCTGTGTTCCAGCTGTCTCATCTACTGACACAAGTAGTCATTTACTCTGTCAGCACTTCTGCCTGTGAAATGAAGGTGACGATGGCTTGCCTACCTGCCTCTGAGGGACAGTTTATGCAAAGATCAAATGAGCCCTTCTCTGTGAACAGCTCAGTCAACTACCAGACCCTGGCAGACAGAAGTTGCTGGTCTCAAAGTCACCGGCTACCGTACCAGTGCCCTTTGTTGTGCAGTATAACTCGCTCTTCTCAGGCTAGTATTTTTCCAGAACTTTGACACAGCTTTTTGGCAACACTGAACAGAAGAGCCTTAAATTCTCAATGATTTTTTAGAATCAAGGCAAGTTTTTAAAACAGTGCTGATTGTTATTTGCAATGCTGCATTTTATGTCTTTCCAAATATGTAATAAGATTTTGAAAGTGTCCTTATAATGCGAATGTAAACTTATCTCCTGAAAATAGAGTGTTGAAGTAAAGAAAAAACAGGAGGCAGTTCACAGTTTTCTATAATCAACAGTCATTTTATTAAGTAACTCTGGGACTCTAAAGTGTTGGCATTTCCAGGTTTCCTTCTAGCTGCTGTTCACATACCTATTTTACATTGATGGATTAATGTGATATGACTTACAGAAACATTTTCCTACTAGTGGTCATTTAGGTTGTTTCCATTTTTTTGCTTTAATTAATAGAGGTGCAGCAATTAAAATTCTCATGCAAACATCTAAATAATTGGAAATAAAATTATGAGGTCAAAGGTTATAAATATTTTGATAACCGTGGACACTAAATGCCCAACTGCTTTCTAAGAAGGTGGTACCAATTCACAGTGCACTTGTGTGCCAGATGCCTCAGAAACATGCCAGTCCTGAATTGTCCTTTCCTAAAAATGTTCTAATTCCAAAAATATGAAAACATTCCTAACACTCTAGTTAGGAAGCTAAAGGCTAATTCATACAAAGCATAAAACACAGGACAATGTCATTTAATGCTAAATGGTGTAGTAGTAATAGTGATTAGGAATGTGAATTCTAAAGTCAGCTTTAATACTAGCCGTGTGACCTTGGACAAGTTACTTAACCTCTCCGTCTCAATTTTCTCATTTGTAAAATATAGTAATATTCCTGTGAGCACTATATGAGTTAAAGGATTGAAGTGCTTAAGAGTCAGATTTGGCACATTTTATGTTTCTATCTAGCAGTTCCTACTGTGCCAGCCACCACCACCGCTGCCACCATCACGGCCACTTGCTGTAGAGAGGGAAATCAAGAAGGCTGTGACAGGCAGGTAAACTTCCACTCAGGTCTCGGCAGTCTCATTTTTAAATGCTCACTATTCATTTGTACTTGATAATCTATTCACAAAAACAATGTCTTCAATAAGAAAACTCATTTTCTTTCTTACCAACTCCTCCAAGTCCAACCAAGGAAAATTTCCTTTCTACTTCCAGTCCCTCCAACAATGTCTTTCTTTAAGCCTCTCTACCATCTCCTATCTCACCTTAAACCCTCTTGTCCCTTCTCTGAATCTTTCCTCCATTTTTCCTTTCCTCCTTATTGTCCCCACTTTTTCCATCTCAGGCATGGATCACCATCTCTTCATTATTTCTCTGCCTTGAATGCCTTGCACCTCTTGGTTCCATCTCTAAGCCACCCAGACTGACCCCTCCTGCATCGTGAGTTCGGAACCACCCATACTCCTTCAGATCTGAACTTTGCTGACTGGCTTTCATGACTCTCCTTAGCTAGCCCCTTGATCTTGGACTTCCAGCCTCCAGACTGTGAGAAATAAATGTCTTTGTTTAAGCCCTCCCAGTCTGTGGTATTTTGTTATGGCAGCCTGAGACAGGGGGTTTATTCCATGTTATTGTCACACATCCTATGCGGTTGGTTCTCTTACTATACCTATGACATGGATGAAAAAAACTATGATTTAGAAACGCCCAAGGTCATACAGAGCCAGTCTGTGGTAGCACTGGAATTGGAACCCGGGTGGTCTGGCTACAGAACCCATGTCCTTGACCCAGGTGTTGTTCCACCTACCAGAGAAGCATGGGGCTGGGCACACAGAAGGGCTTCAATGACCCTGCTGCCATAGCCAGAGATGGAGAAGCAAATGCAATCCTGGGACTTGTCAAATATGTACAGAATGGGTGGCCGGTGTGCAGTGTACCCAGGTTTACAACTCTTCCCTCCTTTACAGCTACCAACTGAGTACAGCACCTTTTCCTTTCCATTCCAGATGTAGCCTCAGAACTGTCCTCAATATAAGACACCAGCAGTTAGTAGAAAATTTACTGGAGTTGGCGTAGAACAAAAGACCAATAAGCACAGAACTAAGTAAACCAACTGCAGTAATAAGAGCAAGGAGGTTTGAAACAAGCAAGGGCTGATCCTGAAAACAAGAGGAGGAGACCTACTTTAAACCGTGTGCTCAAAGGAGGACTGTGTGAAAAGGCAAGTTAAGAAGAGCAGGTCAGCCGAAACCGGTTTGGCTCAGTGGTAGAGCGTCGGTCTGCGGACTGAAAGGTCCCAGGTTCGATTCCGGTCAAGGGCATGTACCTTGGTTGCGGGTACATCCCCGGTAGGGGGTGTGCAAGAGGCAGCTGGTCGATGTTTCTCTCTCATCGACATTTCTAGCTCTCTATCCCTCTCTCCTCCTCTCTGTGAAAAATCAATAAAATGTATTAAAAAAAAAAAGAAGAAGAAGAGCAGGTCAGCCCAGCCGCTGTGGCTCAGTGGTTGAACGTCACCTTTGAACCAGAAGGTCATGGTTCGATTCCTGGTCAGGGCAAAAGCCCAAGTTGCAGGATCGTTCCCTTATAGTGCAGGAGACAGCCGATTAATGATTTTCTCTTATCAATGATGTTTCTCTTTCTCTCTCCCTCTCTGTAATTATATAATTTTTTTGTTTAAAGTAAAAAAAAAGTAAAGTATAAAAAGAAGAGCAGGTCAGTGTCTGGATTGGAAAGCATAGAAAAAAAAAACTCTTTAAAAATATTTTATTGATTTTTTACAGAGAGAAAGAGAGAGGGATCGAGAGCTAGAAACATCAACCAACTGCCTCCTGCACACCCCCCACAGGGGATGTGCCCGCAATCAATGTACATGCCCTTGACCGAATGGAACCTGGGACCTTTCAGTCTGCAGACGGACGCTCTATCCACTGAGCCAAACCAGTTTTGGCGTGGAAAAAACTCTTAAAAAATTAGTTTATCTACTAAGGATTCTCTTAATTTTTTTTAAGGCCTATAATCTGGTCAGATGGAAAAGTGATAATGAGATAAGACTTAATAAAAAGTTTCACTGATGTGGACTGAGTAAAAACAGATAAATATGGGGATACCAACTTCTGGAACATTTGTATGGAAAAAACACTGGTTTTAAGGGCAGACAAATACAATTTAGCAAAATACAAAAGAAGGGAAAATACAAAAATTACCCTGCTAGAGTAAAACGAGGGCACTTTTTCACGTGTCCTACATCCATCGGTATGTTACTTTCCTACTTGTAATGGGCTTCATGTTGTGCTTTCCTTTAGCTATATTTTAAAGTTAAATATCTCAAAGAATCCATGAGATCATATTAAAATTTGTAACAGAAATTAGCTTTATGAGGAAAACGAAATTGCACTAAACTTAGCAGGTAACAAATGACTCCAAGGCAATGGCTTCCAAACATCTTCCAGGCACAGAACTCTTCTCCCAGTGGTGTCTTCTGCATGAATCCAACAGAGAGAACAGACAGTGTAGCTCTGCCCGCGGCGGCCCAGGCGAGGGCCAGCCACAGCCAGCTGAGAGCTGCTGGCTCTGAGGGATACACGGCAGGAAAATCACAACCTCTTTCTCTTACAACGTGGAGTCCCTTCACTGGGCTGTAGATAGCCCTCCTGCACTGTAACTCAACACACAGGGATCCCGAGCTGGAAAATACCGTTTTCTGAAAGGTTTCAAAATCAATAAACTCACTGTGTTCTTTCTGTTTTTGTTTACAAAAGCCCCCAAAAGACAGTAAAGTAGAATATATAATATGCAATCTCATTTTCAAACATAAACTTCTTTCTCTAAATAGTTTTACTTTCATAAAGCAATGGATCAGGAAATTAATTCTTCAAGGAAATGGCAGAGATCTGGATAGCAGAAAGAGAAAAAATGAAGTGGAACAGTCACAATACTGTCACTAGGAAACAGAAAGAAGTAAACAGCTTGATATACACTTTTTCTAAATTTCCTGACATCATTATCCTGACTATTGCTTTCAAATGGCACTGAACACTCAGTTAAAAAACTTACTGGTTCTCCAAGTTTATCCAAGTTATCCAGGAAATATTTTACAGATTCACCCTAAAAACAAGAAGAAAACAAACAGTTATTAGGACTTAGAAATGGAAGATTTTGTTACAACAGTTTATATTAAACTGTCTGGTTGTACACTTAATCCAAACAGTTTGTTTCAGACTGAACACTAACCCCACTAAAAACATAAAATGTCTGCCTCTGCCCCAAAGTGCCATAGCTTGGTTAATTTCACAAATGCTTTACATAAAGGATACCCCCAACTGATCATTTGCTTGGATTGCATGTATGCTTTTGATATCAACTAAACTTTAAGTGGGATTTTTTTTTGTCTATATTTTTCTACCTTAAGTTTATAGCAATGGTGGTTATCTTCAGAATCAAGAGCAAATCAGAGATGAGGAGAGAACATCATATAAAATATCTTCCAGTTACAGGCATGTGCCTAGAGACACGCTTTGCTAAGAACAATTTTGAGTAATGCTGCAGGCTCTGTCTCCAATAGGTCTTCTTTCTCTCAGAGCCCAGATTTCAACTGGCCCTCCAGGCAATTCCAAGCATTTAAACAGTATGAGAATAGTTCCTAAAAGGCAATACTTGAACAGAGAAAACCATTTTAGGAACGAAGGCTCTGGTTCTTGGAATCTCCCTGAGTTTTCACTTTCCTGTTGGACTTCTACTGAGGCACTTCCTCTTCCAGAAGCCCTTTCCGCAAGATCCTGAAGGATTCTTTAATGTATGGGAGAATCCCAGGAAGACTGCTATACTGTAGTTCTGATTGGAGTAGGGATGCGGTGGGGAAGGAAGTAGTATCCACAGTTCAGGTGATTTCCGGGACCACACTTTCAGTCACAAGGAATTAAAATAGCAATTCTCACAATTTTTGATCTCAGGATCCCTTTTCATATCTTAAAATTCTTGAGGAGCTCAAAGAGACTTTGTTCATGTGGCTTATAGCTACTGGTATTTATTTAGCATATTAGAAAGTAAAACCAAGAGATTAACAAATATTTTACTTAAAAAATTCATTTTAATATATCAATAGTAAACACATTGCCTGTTCATCTATATTGTAACATATCTTAATAAAAAACAGAGAGACACTCATCTGCTTCTGAATTTGAACTGCTACTTTAGGTTGGTTGAAGTATGATGAAAATCTGGCCTTACACAAAAATGTAGTTGGAAAAGAGAGAAGTGTTTTAATAACTTAATAGGAAAACACTTCCTGAAGTACTAGTAAACTGATAGATGTTTGTGCTCTAAAATTGCAAAGTCCAATGGTTTAAAGTGGCTTTTATCCGTTTCATGCATAGTAAGTCCTTCTATTTGCAAGTTTGAAATATTTTAAAGAGAAAAAAATCAAACTATAAGAGAGACAAATACAAATCTGTTTACTCCTTAAATTAATTACAACTGTGACTTGTGTTGCCATATTATATTGCATCTATTGACATAATAAGGTATAATATGCCTTTAATTTTCATTAGTTTTATAATCTCCAAACGAAACCAGGTCAAAATGTTTTCTGAATATTCACTAAGCAGGCTTCATTAAGCATGCGTTTAGTGAAATCTATTCAATAGGAAATTTACTAACCCGCCTTTAAAAGCAACCTATAAGTGTGTGTTTTTTTTAAATCAATAATTCACATTTATATAGAGTAGTAATTGAAGCCCTGCAAATATCTTTGTGAAGCCACATCTAAATAAGGGTTCTTTTGGACAATATTCTGTGCACAGACTATGTGTAATATAAACGTTCCATCTACATTTACTTACGTAAGGTTTGTAGCAAGAACCAAGTGCCAAATAGAAATAAGGTACAAAATGAAAAAAGGGTGGGGTTAAAAGTTGGTTAATGAACCAAGATTCTTCATTCAATCTAAGGAAGGGAAGTGGCTAGTAAAAAAGATAATTAAAGGCTCAATTTCCCATTTGACTTTTCCTTTCTCTATTGTTTCTTCACAGTCACATGAAAAGATGAAATATACCATGATATTGCACTGCCCACACTATTTGAAGTCTAAGATTAGAACATTATACTTAATTCCTTAAAGAAAATAAACATAAAACCAGGCCTGATTATATTTAAAGAGTTTGTTCATAGCTTTGAAAATGACTCTAAAACTAAAAGATATTAAAAGCATCCTATTTCAAATATTTGAAATATACCACCTCTATAATGAGAGCCATGTCTTTATTTCTCCCGTTAATTTTAACTTCAAAATAAACAATAATTAAGAAGCTAGCTCTGCACACAGGGCAGGCATCAAGCTCTCTGGTCCTGAGCCTGTCATGGGTGGTTTCACTTCTCCTTTTCATTTATTGCCCTCCCAACGTTCTTATTTTGCCTGGTCTTCACAAAGGACCTATTTTATTGTTTCTTATCTTTGAGATGGCCTACTTTTTGTTTAATGACATTCTCTATTCATTTTTATTTGAAAAAAGCATTGTAAAGTATTGATGTGACGCACAGAACATGTTTTTAATAAGGGTGATTTGTCATCTTTATCATTAAAGCATACTTAAAGTACTACTCATGTTTTGTTTGGTTCACACGGAGTGAGAGGATTTACTTACAGTCAAAGGAATATAAGCTATTGCCCTTCGCTTTGTAGATAGGTTAAAATTATGTAGACTCCAACTAAATGCAGAATTTCAAATTTCTTGCTAGCATTTTCTATGTTTATCACTTAAAACTTCCAAAAGGGCCAAAATTGGTTAGGTACAACAACATAAACCACCCCAATATTTGAAAATATTTTCCATCAAATTAAATACCTATCCAAATTAATCTAAGATAATTTACAACAGCCTAAATCAAATGTCCAAAAGAATACCTAATTTAGACAATTTTAATTCTTGCTTGCATATAAGCTATAAAAATAAACTAGTGCACAAAATTAGAAGTGAAATTTTTTTAAAGAACTAAATTATCACTTTATTTTATAAACTGCCCTTTCTTTGCCATTGCTCACAAATGAATAAATCCCTTTTTATATCCAATTTTTCAATTAGACTTACCAACCAAATAATTTTAAGCTACAATTTAGTTTTTACGAGTATTCTGGTAGTCCTACAAAATTCCAATTTACACATAACACAAAATGTACAATGCAGTTTAGTAATTCTCTTACTTTATTAAAATGCTTTATCCTTAGAGATATGAGGAAAAAACTTAGCCAAATGTCTAATGCATTTTTGAATACATGGATATATTATATTTATGCATGTGTATCTAATACTTATATGCTATTCAATTTTGTTATTTTAAGAAAGTATCAAGTAAAAATGAAATGCAGGCCCTGGCAAAGTAGCTTGATTTGTTAAGAGTGACATCCCGACATGGCAAGGTTGCAGTTTGATGTGTGATCAGGGCATATACAAAAGGAGCAATAAATGAATGAATGCATCATTAAGTGAAACAAGTCAATGCTTCTCTCTCTCTCTCTCCCTTTAAAAATCAACAAAAAAAGAAATACAAATTTTAAATATAAGAAAGAAGATTAATATTACAGATAGGGGCTAGCTTTAACATGATAAATACCATTGGTTAATTAGGCAACAACATGGTAATTTATTCCATATTTATTCTATGTTACCATTTAGTATGACCAGTTTTTGATCCTTACATATGTATGGGTGTCTGTCTACACACACATACACACACACACACACACACACACACGAGAATTTTTCATGTAAACAAACAAAAAAATTACATATATTTTCTAAGAATGCCTTGCCAGTTCTGAGAAAATCAGTGCCTGTAGGAAATACTAAGATTGCACTACTAAGTGAACAGGATATAAAACTGCACAGAAAGTCCTGAAAAGTTTATCTCAAAAGTTAACCAAAGCTGTACTGAAACACCAGAAGGAAATACACCAAATATCAACAAAAATGTCTTGGGGTGGTGTGTAAGTGGCTGACTAGATGCTTTTCTACAATGGACATATGTTTTAAATTTAATTTTTTGTTTTTTGTTTTTTTAAAAAGCTAATTTGGATTCTGGAGCAGGTAATTCCCTCAAAAAAATAAAACAAAACAATTTTCTTATTTTTCAGTTTTCACATAACAATAAAAAGCTTAGAGTTCTGAGAACTCCTCAAAACTAAAATATTTTTTTGGAAAGGGTCAATCTTATACAATCTGAACAAAGAAATATTTAGCTGTGCTAGAACTAGAACCTTTCAGTAGTAAATTTTTCCTTCTTTCTTTCTTTTTTCCCCCAAAAAAGAAATGACCTCAATTGTTAAAAAGAAACAAAAAATACAATTTTCCAACACAGGTCATACTTCCCAAATATAGTTTCAATTCCCCTGACAACCAATAGAGGGCCTATAAGAGCAATTCACAATACCCAAAAGTCCTTGTGAATGCACACTGGACGGAAAGTTCTGCTCTATGATGTGCTACAACAAATCTTGAAATCCCCACAAAATTATACCATAATTAACATTGACAATAAACATCAATTAATAAATTCTATGCATTTATTACACAGCTGATGAGAGGAAAACCCAGATGACTTCACTCCCAGTTAGCTGTTGAACCAATTATCCCAACCCTGGCCAGTATTGATCACCTTCCCTTCTCCGTCTGCCCAGCAATCATGTCAGACAGCAAAGCAATGCAACCTATGAATATTTCTAAATTCTGAAGAAAGTGGGAAATAGCTCAAAATTTATATTGGTAATCAGTTCCTTTTTCAAATTTCTATTTGGTTAAGTGAGCTATGAAGGGACACAGGAAAGCAAGGTTGGTTGTGAACTTATGTTCACAGGCTACGGAGTCCTACAGCCCAGAGTTTGAATCATGGCTCTATCACCAAAACTACCGGTGGCCTTAATCTCTATGGACCCATGATTTAGGTATAAAATGAAGTGAATAGGACTATATGCTCTCTTAGGTCTTTTCTAGGTTAGCAAACACTTAGTGATTTGCATACTCTTAGCAGAAAAGCAACAAATATTATAGCATTTATAATTCTCATTTACAAACACTGTTGGTTGACTTTTTCTATCTGCTCCTCACTAGACTGAG